GTTGGGGACCATGACATTCCTGACGGATGGTTCCATTCAGACTGCACTCCCCAAACTTTTCGGCTTTGGAAGTAGTGTCTCACAGTTTGGAACGAGCCTCCAAGGTGAAGAGCTCTGTGCAAGGCAGGAGAAGGAATCTTCAGACACTGGAAGTTGATTTTCACCAAGTCTGGGTAATTTCTTCCCAGGGAGAGGGAGAGTTGAATTCCAAATTGGACAGGCGCATTTTGCCTGCACTAGTTTGAATTAACCAGTGATTCCACTGGGAAGTGCAGGGGTTGACCAGATGTCCTTGGAAGGCTCCCGCAGACCTGCCTGTTTGGAGCTAAAAGAAAGAAAGAGACCTTGACCAATGAGGCCGGTCACTTCACTTAACAGTGAGGAAGCCATGATATGGGGAGTTAGTGCAGTTCACACCCACATTATAATTACAAAGAGAAATATTTATGTTGCTTTATAGTCCCGTTTACTCCTAAAAAACCTATTTGTTAAAAGGAGTTTATTGAGTACATATGTGCAACATAAAGAATAAAAACGAAACAAGACCTCTTCTCTCCAGTCTCGCTGCTCACGCACGTGCACCCCTGGGCAGTAGGTGTGAACACCGTGCTCAGGGGCGTGAGGCCGTGCGGATTCTTCCGGGGCTTCCTTCTTTCAGTCAGCAGTGTGTCTGGGGTTCGACCTCATGGTGCTGTCACTGCAGCCCAGTCACCCTCCTCTCCAAACCCCGTCATGCCATAACGTGAACATGCCGTACTGTCGTCATCCCACGGCCGGGCCTATTTTTGATTATTTCCTATTGGCATTTTTGTTTGTTTGCACTGATTGTTTTGTATGTGACTTGCACGTGTGCAGGTTCCTTGGACTAGAGAGTTGATGTGGAGAGAGCAAGAGAACTTCAGGTTGGGAGAGTTCTCTCCTTTCAAGGGCTTGTTGAGCCAAGTCCGGAAAGGTGAGAAGGGGGGCTGCGTGCACATTTCCTGGAAGGAAAACGTACATCCGTGTGTCCTGTACAAACACCTCTGGAAGGAGAAGAACAGAACTTTACCGATGTTACCTTCTGCTCATTCCGGGTGATTCCTACCTTTCACAAACTCTTTTTATATGTCCAAACAGCATAATGAACATGAATTATTCTTGTTATTGTTCAAAATAGATGGAGCAAGGCAACCATTTCCTTTTGTTTGATGTATGCACAAGTGCCACAGCAGTGACGCTGTTTAGAAGCCCACAGTGGTTCCCCTTGTTTATCCTCACCTACTTCATCTTCATGACATTAGGCCGTTTCACTCCGACATGCACCAAGCCATGGCTGATGCTTTCAGGGCACTGGGCGGTCACCCAGATGCCGTTCGATAGCCCTACCAGAAAGCATGACGGGAACCCTGCCAGGGAACTTCACCCAGTGACTTTCCTGATAGGAAGGTGACAGAACAGGAGGCCCCAGAGGGAACCCCAATAACTCACTGGATTGAGAAGCTGCAGTTTCAAGCACCTGGAGCCCCAGAGAAGACCAGCGTTCTCAATGGGAGTACTTATGTAACTCCTGGAGGCGGGTGAGTACACACGTCACAGCGGCCACACAGGTCCCCAGATGAAATGCGGGGCTATGGCTAAGTTGGAAGGGCCAGGAAATGGCCAGTGTTGACCCCAAGCTGTAACCCAAAAATCCTGAACTTGCTGACCTATAACCACAAACTTAGTGGTCATATTTCCACTAAAACAGGCTTTCATTTATGTGTAAACTGTTTATTTAGCACCTACTACATGTCAGGAACTATGCTGGGCCCAGATACACAATATCAGACACGGAAGCTCCAACAGTCCCTCTCCTACGATCCAAGGGGAGGAGAGTCCATGAAATGAGTTGTGACAGGCGTTAAATGTGACCACAATCAAAGGGCAGGGGGTCCCGTGGAAGCTCCAGCAGGAGCAGAGCTCCTAGGAAGAGGACGGATAAGTGGGGTGCTTCCGTGGGTGGGAACTAGCAGTGTGGACCAGACACGGAAGGGTGGTCCAAGCAGAGGAGACTGTGGGAGGAGACTCGGAAAGCGCAATAACTAAGGAGTGAGAGGAGACCAGTAGGGCCATGCAGAAGGACAGAAGGAACTGGAGGTTTCCGGTTGGAGGAAGGCAAGGCTGGGGTGGGGACAAGTCAGGAGGCTGTGTTTGCATGAGGGAGAGAAGTAAACTAAGAAACATTTAGGGAGGAAAACCAGCAGGACTCAGTGATAGACTGATGTGGTCGAAGCTCAGGTCATTGATGTTAAATCTAAATCTTTCTCTTTTCTACTATAAGCACTTAGTACTATAAATGTCCCTCAAAGCACAGCTTTAGCTGTTTCCCACAACTTTGACATGTTGCGTTTTTACTTCCATTCCATTTAAAATACTTCCAGGTTTCTATTTAGAAGTTGGTTTAATTTCCAAATAGCTATGCCTTTTTCAGACACCTTTCTGGTATCACTTTCTCATTTAAGTCCCCTTGGCCATTCATTATAAATTTACCAGGACTTCTTTGATAGCCTAGGACACAGCCTGGTGGTAGGCCATCCCTAGCCCAGTTGACTGGATTCCCCTTTTTATCTGTCCTCACCTTGCCTTACCTGAGTTTCCTTTCTTCTCTCTCTCTGTCTTGGCCAATGGTCTCCCATCCAGGTCAGGTCTGCGTGGATTTTCTGTAGTCTGGGGATCATTTCTCAGCACGGCCTGGGAGGGATTACACACCCACTCACGAAATAAGCAATAAAGCATGGGTACATTGTAGCCTGAATCCATATTTGGGAAAGAAAATTCCTCTAAAGAGTTATGATCTGCAGAATGTGACTCCAAGCACAGTAATTACAACCTTTGCAGGAGTGTGCAGAGGAGGTCAGCTCCTGGGAGCCAGAGCCACTTGCTTTCAAATATCGTTTTCCCAGCAGAGGTCCCTCCCGCTGGGGTGGCTTCCCAGAAGCAGCAGACATGCGACCTCAAAGACAAATCCACCCTCATTGCTTAAGAGGCAGGACATGGCAGGACCTTTAAAATGAGAACTTTTTCAGATTCCTCACTTCATTAAGCATGTATAATGTATATTTGTATTTATATAGTATACATCCTAATAGTTTCTATATAATTATATAATTTTCATATGTCATTTTAGCCATATCTGTATATATATATATATATGTACCTATACATGTCTGTGTGTGAAATCTTGGTACCCAGTCTCACCCAGGGTCATCATACATACTGTGTTCAGCGAGGAAGAGAAATGCACGTCAAGCTGGGAAGTATGGGGGCTGCTTTGCCTCCCGTAAGCTGTTAGAACACACAAATAATGCCTGCGTGGCTGTAGGTGCCTGCTCACGACCCCTCCACCTTCTGATTATAATGGAGTTTGGGACGAGGTTGTTCGACTTAGCGTTTCCGACACTGAGGTCCCAGTACATATTGAGACCTGGGTCCTGCCCATTGGAGAGAGCTGGGACCCCCTGTGATTGGGTGGGAGGTGACGGTGGAAGCACCGCACGGGCCCTGCCTGAGAACCGGCGGTGGGAGGAGCCGCTGGGAAAAGCACAGGAGGGCCTTCTGGGCCCGGTCATCTGAGCCCCTGGCAGTCAGAACACTCACACGTTCCGGGGAGGTCAGCAGAACCTAAAGGGAAGGAAACACAGAGAAACGTTTTCCAGTCGTCCCGAGCCCCGTACTTTGAAGAGGAAGGGGATAGAGAAGGGGCGTGCAACGGTGTGAGCAGTGCAGTGGCCGCCTGCAACTTGAACGTGAAACGGCCTGAGGGGACTCTCTGCTCTCTCTGAGAGGCCATTGCGTCTTGGAGTGCGCACCACGAGGTCTACCCACACAGCGGCACAGGGCGCTTCAGCCACATCTGTCCCGCATCTGTCCCTCTGACAGGCGTGGGCAACCTCCACATCCAGCACGGCTGCCAGCCCGGGGCAGCGGGTCAGCCTCTCTCCGATGACCACTTACCGCTCTCTGCAGACGGCCGGCCCAACACGTGTAACGTCATCCGGCTGCCGCCAGCTGCTGGCAGTCCCATGCCCCCAGCCACAGACACAGGGGCTTCTACTCAAGCCTTTCAGTGGACAATCATTATCTAAAAGTCACCGCCAGCCGGGCTCACAGCTCCCAGTTCTTGACTGCAGGCGGCATCCCTTCCCTACCAGTGCCCCCCCCGCCACCCGCCGCCTTTCTACTGAGCAGCCCCCGTCTGGAGCTCGGCCCAGCTGCCCTGCGTCCCCACGGGCCATGCTGGCCGTGGTCTGACTGGAACACACATAACCAACGCGGGCACAAGCCACTCGGATGCAGCCTCAGCTCTGCAGGTGCAGGCGGGGCTGTGTCCCTCTGAAAGTGACAGACAAGGACTAGCTTCCATGAGGTCACAAAGGTCGTACTCGTCAGAGACCAAAGGACGCTTAAAGTCAACTCAGCTTCCTGGCAAGAAGCTGAGCTGATACTACTTTTTTTTTAAGATTTTTAAAATGTATTTATCTTTAGAGGGGAAGGGAAGGAGAGAGGGAGAGAAATATCAATGTGAGGTTGCCTCTCGTGTGTACCCTGATGGGAACTGGTCTGCAACCCAGGCATGTGCCCTGACGGGGAATCGAACCGCGATCCTTCGATTCACAGGCCCTCACTCAATCCACTGAGCTACACCAGCCAGGTGAGATGATACTTCTTGAAAAGACCCTGTTTCACTACAGGAACAGATCTGGACACCAGTGAAACCCTAAGAGATTGTGAAAATCCTGGGTCGGCCGTTCCCTTCCAGGGATCGGACATCACGATCCAGGGCATGGAGGGAGCAGCTCCTACAGGGACTGCTGCCGGCCACCCGGCTGCTGCCAAACCTGGAAGTCCATTTGCAAACCCGCCACAGGCCAGAGGCCCAGCTCAGGGAGGCCAGAGGTGCATCCAGGACATACTGACTGGGTGCCTCGTCGTGTGACAAGTCTGGGACACAGGGACGAGGCTCCCGTGGGTCCTCCCCTCAGAGTGAAGGGTCCAGCAGCCCCGGGGCCTGTGTGTGGCTTGCATCCTCCCTGGAGTTGGCGGGAGCTTGTGCCTGGGGACTGCTGGTGTTGAGTCGTCCCACGCCACCACCCGCCCGGGCCCGGAGCCCCACAGGCTTCCTGCAGACCAGCCGGGCAGAGTGAGGGACCGAGCCAAGCGCGTGAGAAGTGAAGGAACGAGGGGGCTCCAAGACTCTAACATACGCGTCTTCCCCTCTGCCGGGCTCGCAGAACGTCCACCCGGCCCCCCATCGCTGGGCGGCGTCTGGAGGAGCATGACTGCTCGGTCCACCAGCAGGGCTCCCGGGCGACGCAGCAAGCAGGTCCTCCGGGTCCCAGTTCATACATGGCGGTCTCAGGTTTCCCGTCGGAAACGCTGCGGTGACTGCACCAACATTACCAGCTCAGCACTCACGTAGTGGCGAGTGTTTCATCTAATGTCACATTTCTCTGGGCCTGGAGAAATGAGGACCCTGGGGAAATAACGGTGAGCGAGCGTGTGTGCCTTAGAGCCCCCGGCAACCGGACAAGCTTGTGACACATTTCGTTTCTCAGCACGCGACCCCTCCAACCCTCATGAGCAGGGACTCGAACTCCCCAGGAGAGGTAGTTGGGCGGTTCCCACCAGTCTGGTCGGGCTGGTGCAGGGAGACCCATGTGTCCAGTCCCCGTCCCTCTGCATCCATTGTGCAAACTTCATGGGGGCCCTTGCTCAGCTCAAAGCCAGGTCTGAACCGGTGTCTACCAAGGGGTCACTCTCACAGCAGGGGGTCCCCTCCCCGAAGAAGATGCAGACTGCACAGCGCTCGAGTTGCTTCTCCCTGTGTGGTGGGTCCCAGCGCCCTCATCTCGTAGCATGGCATTTAGGGAACACTGGTTGCCGGGGCCTGTTCTCATCAGTAACAGCAAGTGTCCCCAGCAGTGGGGCAGGGGCCATGGGGCCTCCCTGCAGACCAAGTTCAAGGCAATGTCCGCCCTGCAGGCCTGCTCCCCACCAAAGGGGCGCATTGCTAACGCCTGGGTTTCCTGTATCCTCAGGGTCGGGGAAGGTGGGCAGGGGCTCCCGTCCAGGAATCTCTCAGACCTGATCCTGCAGATGGCCTGTGCCTGCAGAGGATGGGTCTCCAATGTGTAAGTCTGGGCTGGGACCCCCGTTGCTCACGGGTTCCCAGGCGGAGCTGCTGGGGCTGGTCCTGGGGCCAGGGTCCTCGGAGACATGTGCAAGTGGCTGTCATGCTCCAGCAGCCTCCAACAGGTGTGCAAGGGTCACAGGGCTGGAGTCAGTGTGTGACGCAGTCCCCCACATCCCCCTGTTTTCTGTTTACTGGATTTAGAGTGATTGAGTGAAATTACTTAAGGGGAAAAAAAAACCCTTTGAGGTCCAAAGAGACTATGAACTGCATTGGGTTTTGTTTTCAAGGCAAGTTCCTGGGCTTTGAAACTGCCTCCTCGGGCGGGAGGGGTGCCCGCCTTCCTGCAGGGCCCCCAGCTCCCCGAGCAAGCAGCTGCTCCCTTTCTGCTTCCTAATCATAACACCCCTCGTCCCAAACCACCACCGAGCTTATCTTGTCTCTCCAGCCCCAGAATTACGTAAGGGCCGTTATTTTTTAAGGGAGGAGCGGAGGGGCATTGGAGAGCCCAGTGAAAAGGGGGAAACCCGGCCGCAGGCGCAGGAAGGATGTGACGACCCAGCGCACTTCTGTGCCTCGGAGAAGCCGGTTCCGAGGATGCCCTTGCCAGGAGCTGCCTCTGCCTGCAGCTGCCTGGGGGAAATGCTGCAGCCCTTCCCTCCCTCTCCTCTGGAAAGTTCTGGGGGGGGTTCTCATGCAACCCCCCCAAAAAAGGAAGTGAAAATGAGGGAGAAGGTGGAAGCGGATGCTGGAGAACTCTGAGTAAAAACCAAAGACGGCAAAGGAGTCATGGGCTCTCTGCACACAGGCGACCGACCATCACTGTGCCGGGGAAGTGGTGGTGAGAGCAGCTTTCTGTCAGAATTTGTTCACGCTGGCCCCGCCACTGGGCACTGGGTGCGGTGCCTACAGTGGATTCGTGGGGGGCAGAAACTAGGGTCTCCCAGTGCGTGGGGTAGGGGAGGGTAGACAGAACAATGCCCCCCAGGGATGCCGCCCTCCTCATCCCCAGGAACTGAGTGTGACCGCCTGTGGTATAAGGTGCTTTGGAGGCGTGACTGGGTTGGGGTCTCCAGAAGGGACAGTACCGAGGACATTGGCATGGGGGTGATGCAAGCACAAGGGCCCTTCTGAGGGCAGGAGAGAGGCAAGAGAGTCGGAGGAGAAGACGTGAGGACGGACAGGTGGGAGGGGATTTGACTGAGGGTGGGGGCTTCTGGCCTTGAAGGCGGAGCAGAGAGCCGGGAGCACAGGGGCGTGGGCAGCCCAGAGGAGCAGCTGGAGGAGGCTGAGACTGGATGCTTGCCTAGAGGCTCCAGGAGAGAGCCACCTTCCCGAGCTGCCTCAGAAGGTTCCAGAACTGCAAGGTGGTTTCAGGCCATGAGGTCTGTGATGATTTGCTGCAGCAACGCTGGGGAATTCACATGGGGTGGGGGTGGGGTGGGGGGCCGGGCGAGGAAATACGACAGGGCCTGTGCCCCTCCAGCCCGGAAGCAGGGCCTGGGCTTCTGTGCACAGTGTGGGGCTGCCGCCCACAGGTTCTCTCCACCACGCGGCCAGGCCCTCCACCTCCGCCTCCACCATGGTCCACAAGTCTCCGGGGACTCTCGGGGCCTGCCGCTAAGCCGTGCAGATGGAGGAGTTTCATGGCAATTCTCTCACAGTGCCTTTCCGGTCCCTTCCTCGCGGTGGCAGTGGCTCTGAGAACGGCTCTGCAGCAGACAGACAGACAGACACCTGGAATCTCCGTGGGGCTCGGCAGTCGGGCACCTGGCGTCCTCCAGAAGAGAGCTGGGTCGGGGCAGCCCCTCTCCAGTGGTTCCCTGCTGAATGCGAGCCAGCCCTGCAGGAAGCATTCGGAACAAAATACGGTGACTTAAAGCCTTTCACTGAAGGAGCCAAAAATAGCTGCCTCAGAGGCCTGGGAGGAAGCCAACAAAAGCGCCAGGCGAAGCCCTCGGAAGGGCCTGCGGCCTGGACAGGCACGGGCGTGGAGAGGGGTAGCTCTCGACTGAAGCTGGTCCTCCCTGGCCTGCACCCTCTTTGGAAATAAACCAAAAAGGAGGTGATCTACAGCCCCCTTGAGTGCCGATCAAGAGGAGGGAGGGACCCCCAGGGGCTCAGAGCGGGACCTGGGTTCAGCCAGGTGCCTTATGTGGGGAGGAAATATCACCGTCCTGACTTTGGAGGCCGCGGCGTGGGGTGTGGCAACAGAAAAGGGACCAGGTGTCACGGAGTTGAACTCTACCCATCACGCCTGCCAGTGGCTTGGGTCTCTGCTGACACTTCTCCACCTGTGACCTAGCGTGAGGGGCCTGCTCTGAGCCGTGTCCCCAGGTCGCATGGGCAGAAGAGTCTTGCCCTTGCTCATGGATGAGCCCTCCCTGACTCCCCGGAAAATGTCAACTCCCAGCTTGGAGCTGAGTGCGGGGATGGAGCAGGGCACAGGTCGCCTGTGGTCTGGGTTCCCTCCTTCCTGCCACTGGGGCTGGAGTTCTGGGAGCCCCGCAGGCCACATGGCCACTCACGTCTCCATCCTGGTCCTTGGTGATGGCTTTGAGCTCCCCCCAACCTGGCACTGGGGTTTGCAGCCCAGGTCTGAGCTTCCAAATGCGTTGTCATCTCATGGAGCTTTTTTAAATGTGTCTGGAGCAGGGCCACTGTGTTGTTAATTCAAGGAAAGGGCTCCCGGGCCAGTTCCCACATCCACCCCATCCTGTTGACCAAAAGTCTGAGATCGTGGGGCAGAATCGGAATTTTCAATTAATGGCACAGCTGAGTCCAGCTGATTACAGAAACCCACGGATGCTGCCCGAGTCCCAGCAGTTCCCCCATCAGCCCCTGCGGAAGCGCACCCTCTCATCTCCTTGGGGTTCCCGTGGCCGGCACCTGCCAGGCCCAGCTGAGCACCCAGGCAAGAGGTGCTGCCCTCCACTCAGGACTCGCAGACTGGTTCTCACGGCTTCCCGGAGGAGGGGTGCTTTCCCCCCGACTTAAACACGCCGCAAGATTAAGTCACGGGCCCGAGGCCACGCAGTTAGAACACACGAAGCTGGGACCCCTAGCCGAGGTCTGTCCGAGGCCAGAGCCCACGTGTTCTAGCACCGCGTACCCTGGAGCCTTCCAGACGTCTGCCGGACGGAGGCGTGTGGAAGAAGGGAGAAGACTCACCCAGCTCGGCCTCCCTGCTAAGACAGGCAAGTGGGTAGAAGCTAAGTGGACACTGGGTTTGATTCCAGTGAGGACTTCTCGTGCCGGTTAAAGCAGCCAAGCAGGCCTTGGGGGTGGGCTGAGCCGCTGGGCACGGGGAGAGGTCACGGGACACCCTGGCAGGGCGTTGGCCGAAGGAAGGAATTCCAGCCACTGCTGAGTTCAGCCAGGAGACTGGCTCACTTTAGATCCTTTCTACCCTGGGTTCTGGGATTCTCGCAAAAGTGCTTTCACATCTATTCAGGGCCTGCCATTCATGGGAGTATAATGCCTCCTTTGATCTAATTGGTGACCCAAATAGCTGTAAGCGACCCTCCTCGGGTGGCCCACGCACTGTGCAGGGAATCCAGTTTCTGGTAGGCTTTCTCTCCACAGGGGGCCAGGCATGGAGGCCCCCCGGGTTGAGGGCAAAGGAGATCTTTGGCTGGTAGGACCCGAGGCTGTTCTACTCCCCCAGACCTACCAGGGAGCAGGGTGGAGTAGAACTGAGAAGGAGAAGAAAGGGGAGAGAGAAGGGGTTGGGGGAGGGCAGGACGGGGAGCGAGCCTCTGAAAGTGTTTTGCAGCAGTTGATTCTGGTTACCTCCCACCTGCACCTCTGCAGAGGGAGCTCACCGGGCACCAGGTGCCTTCACCGGACGGCCCTGCCCTTCGGGGCCCTGGTCTGGTCCCTCTGCTCCCCCCAGGGCCTCGCCACTGGGAATCCTCTCCTGCCAATCAGGAACCCCACCTCCATGGCCCTCCGCTGTGGGCATCCCGACCCAAAGAGGACAATCAGCGAGGCACAAGCAAAAAGCAATGACAGGCAGGTAACAGCTCCAAAAAGGGCCACCTTTGCTGCTGGTCCCCTCAGGCCTCTGAAGGAAAAGAACTGGAATTATGAAGAAGTAGCTGTCGCTGCTGCAGGTGTTACCGCAGCCCCCGTGTACCTGCGTTTCTCTGGAGTCCCAGGACGTGGGGCTCACGCCCACCCCACCTCCGCATGGGTGTGTCAGACATTGGGGCGCACCTGCCGTGGGAGGAAGGCGGGAGGTGATGCTCTGGGT